GGGAGGGTGGGAAACACTCATCCTTGCCTATGTGTTCTTCCAGGCAGAGAGACAGATTTCCACAAGCAAGACCAGGAGGCCAGGCTCCTTCCTCAAAAACAATATAAGAGAGACAAGTCATCTTCCTCCTCCTCCTCTTCCTCCTCCTCCTCCTCATCATCATCGTCATCCTCCTCTGCCTCAGGTATAGCAAAGATTTAAATATATATATATATAACCTTATATTATTCAGAAAGCCTTTCTGTGGGAAACCCATCCCCCATAATCTCCCGCCTCGACACTCCAAGTCTATTTTCCCACATTCCCTTCCAGAGCCCGCCTATCCGTACCCATAACTTGTACACAGTTATATATGATCGTAGGGACAGTTTTGTCCATGGTTAAAAATACTTTGCTGCCTTCTCCTTCGTATTTTGCCCTGTCATTCTGCAATATCTTTGCAGCTGTTCCTCATGCCTCCGAATCACCCCCCAAGCGGCTGCATCTCCCGTAAAGTAACACCGAGGGTCCCTAGGGGGCGCTCTGGTGCCAGAGTCAGTGCCTCTGTCAGTCCAAGCAGCCTGCTGGGTTCAAATCCTTCTTTGGCCACTAACTAGCTATGTGTCTTTGGGTAAACTGCTTAACCCTGTATGCCTTGAGGTGCTGATCTCTAAGATGGGGATGGTAACAAAAGTTGTTACCTCATAAGATTCTTGGGAGGATGACATTCTGGACATGTGTGAAGTCTTAGCATCTAGCACAAAGTAAAAGCTCAAACAAGGACTGCTATTGTTAAGGCCCACCCCACCTTACCGCCAGTTGTTCACATTCATGAGCATCCTTGCTCAAAAGCTTTTGCTTTTTAATTTTTATTTATTGTTCTTTTAATTGAGGGTCATGGTACTTGATGAAATGGTTATTTACAGTTTACATGATATAGCTATTAGAAACTTTTGACCTGTAGGATTAGGTTTAAGTAAAAGAAAAGCTCACTGGTTTAAAATAGTTCTTTAAAAGACATGGGCCGGCCCCCACCTTCCCTATAGCCCCAGCTGCCCCTCACGCTGGAGTGTAAGTTCCATACCCCTTTTCTCCCATGGAGCACTGTGCTTTTGCTTTTTAAATTTTTCATACAAATCATCTCCTAAGTATTGTCTCCCCACCAGTGTTTTAGTGGGTTTAGAGAAACGAGTGTCTCTATTTGGGTCTTGATTACAAATTGTCACATTATTCTCTAATAAACAGCAGAACATTCTTTCACTTTTATTTTTTCGATTCAAAATGTAAAGCTGAATTTATAGCAGCAGCAGCAACATCATAGCTAGCATATATTGATGCTATCGATCTATGTGCCAGGTACTGTTCCAGGCACTGCAATAAATTAATTCTCACAGCGACCTATTGAGGAAGGTGCTATTATTATTACCATTTTATAGATGAGGAAACTGAGGCACAACTGACCTGCTGTAAGAGGGCTCAGTAACTAACCTGGGATTCCCTGGTGGTCTTTCTGGGACTGGGGAGCCTAAGGATTGGCTCTGGTCTACTCCTCCTCAACCAGAGCTCCTTATCTGTTGTACATTGTGGACCTGGGTCTGAGATTTTATGTGATGAAAGAAATCTCAGACCTGGGTCTGAGATTTTATGTGATGAAAGAAAACTTTTAAAAGCGCTTGCAAGTCCTAACACTCTAGCCTCATGTCCTCATGTTGCAAATGATGAGACTGAGGGTCAAGGCCACAAAATCTATGCTTATTTCAGCAGACAGAAGAGAGAGAATGGTTAGTGGGTCCAGTGGGTTTGTGTGTAGCCAGTCTCCTCATGGGACTGGAAAGGAAACCACCCCCCTTATTAGAAAGTATACAGACCCACCCACTTCAAGGTTTAGCTCTGGAAGAAGGGCTTCCAGGTGCAGGGGGACTCTTTCTTGCAGGGGGACTCTGTCCCTTTGTTTCTCCTCCCTGGTAGGAAGGGACATTCTGTTTTCTGATTCTGTTGCCCCTTAGGGGGTGCTGCTCCCACACTAATGTTGTTCCTCAAATGTGGCCATAAAGCACTTCCCTCCTGTCTCCACAGCACACGTGGGACTGGCTGTGGTTAGCAAAGCTGAACGCTAAGAGAAAGCAACAGGCAAATAAACACAGAAGCACAGAGCCAGACTGATATTCAGGATCCTGGTGTCTGATCCACAATGACTGGCCTGTTGCTGGAACTGAGACCATGCCCATTTTTCCGGCTCAGATGGTGACCTCAAGGCCCCAAACCCGGTGTCTCACTGCAGCCCCAAGTCTTCCTCCACATGCAGGACCCTAACTGATAGTCCAGCACCCAGCACTGCTCTCCCTACATCTTTTCTTAATATATCCTGTTATTTTTTAATTAATTTTTTTTTTATTGTGAAAGATTACTCATAGGCACATTGTACAAAATGTGAAACATATAAACATATAGAAAGAAGAAAAAAATCATCCTTTGTTCTGTCACCCAGAGTTAACTGCTAAACATGTACTAGTATATTTCCCCCAGACCACATTCCTCACGAAAACTAAATTCTGAGAATGAACAGCAGAACAAGGGCATTCCAGGCTCGTTTCAGTCTGAGGTTCTCCTACAGCTTGTATTTGTTCCCTGCAGAGAGCAGTGATGAGGATCAGCACCCCAGAGAAACCCGAAAACATCGGCAGAGCCAGGGGGCTGGACATCCCCACAGGCGCGGCTCACGCGGTAGGCAATAGGCCTTACCATTTCTCCTTCCCCACTCAGCTCACTGTTGAGTTTCTCACTGGGCCTCAACATGTCTGTGCGAAGATGTCCCTCGAAGCATTGTTTATAGTAAGACAACAATGGAAAACAATCTAATGTCCAAAAACTACAAAACAGGTCAATGATGCCACACTCTGTCCTGGTTAGAGCTCCCTTCTTTATGTCTCTCTGAAGTGAAAAGGAAAGATGTCAAATCATATAATCAGTTTGATCTCATAACGCACTTGTCGAAATTCACACATATGTGGCTATAAACAAGACTGAAAGGAAAAATATCCAAATGTTAATAGTGGTTATCTCTGGATAGTTAAATTATGAGTGATTTTTATTTTATTTCTAAACTGCTCTATACCACAAATATTTTACAATGAGCATGCTTTATTTTTAACAACAGAGAGAATTTTTTTGCAAAAAAAAAAAAAGGAAAATAAATTTCAGCTCAAGTGGATCATGGGAAGAAAAGAGCATGAGAAAAAGAGCCTGGATTAATGCCTAGTACAAGTCCTGGAACACATAAGTTGTTTAATAAATGCTGCCCATGAAGCTGGAGTTGAACTCTGGGTTCTGTTTCTGGAAATAAAGATGATTAGGATTGCAGGCCTTAGCGACAGACCTGGGTTTGAACCCTGGACTTGTCATTTCCTGACTACGTGAACTTCAGGAAATAATTTAACTTTGTAAGCTTCAGTTTCCTTATCTGTAAAATGGGGGAAGGAGGAGACTAATACCTCCTTCATAGGATTTCCATGAGGATCAAATGAAATACTAAATATAAAGTACTTCATACAGTGTTGGTACATAGTAAGCACTCAATAAATAGCAACTTTTATCATTGACTTTGAACAAGGCCCAGGTCCTCTCAAACCCCTAATTCTTTCTTAGTAAACTGAACAGGGTCACCTCTGGGTGTGTTGGGGAAGGAGGGAGTAGGACAGAATAAAGGGAAAACACTTGTAAGGCTGTCTTGCCTCTTGAAGATCACTCAGCTTACCCCCAGCACAAGAACTGTGTGGCTTCGTGCAGGTGGGAGATGAAAGCTGCCCTGGGATGCTGCTCCTTGGAAATGACTAATGGGGTTTGTCTCCACCCAGGTGCTGAGCACGGGAAGCCTGATGCTTTGAAGGATGAGCTTCAACTCTATGAAGGTAATTGATTGTCCAGTGACTTTGGAGAAAACAGAATTAGACAAAGGACAGGGGGCCTAGGGGTTTGTTGGGCAGAAACGAGATCATAAGTGTGTTTGTTGAGCTAAAAGTCATGGGCAGATATAGGAAATACGACAAAGTGAGTGGTTATAACATTGGCAGATGGGGATGGGGACAAGCATTCTGCACCATGGTGAAACTGTCCTGGGTTCTCTTCTAACCTGTAACCTTGACTTGACCGGTTCCCCAACCCTTGTGGGCCTCAGCTTCCCAAACAACAAAATGAGACATGATCAGTACCTGCTCTCCTGGAATACTTGGCTGTTTAAGCCTGCAAGAGAAAATTAAGAATCTGATCTCTACAAGACTCATATTATGGAATAATTGTCTCCAAGCATCATGATTATTACAGCAAGATCGAAATACTATGGCCCTTTGCTTCATAGCGCTCTGATGAAATGGGGGAATTTATAGGAATGAACCAGTTTGCCAAAAAGCCTGAGTAATGCACATGGCCAGATAAGAAAACCTCTTTAACTTTGTTTCATCCAACATTTCCATAATCTACTTAGTGTCCTAATTCTTGATAACGACCCAAGAAAAACATCGGGAAACGTTTATGTATATTTGAAGAAATGTAAATGAAATATTTTGATGTTCTGCAGCAAGATATTACCAATGGCTGTTTCCAGGTGGTAGCAGTGTGGGTAATCTGTGTGCTTATCAGCCCTAAGGACAGAAGAGCATACTGAATGCTTATTGTCATGTGCCCAGGGTGCCCTCTTCTGGTGTCCTGGGGCTAACTTAAAAGACTAGAAGTATACAGGAGTGGGGGCTCCTGGTGGTGGTGGTTGTAGTGGAGGTGGTTACAAGGGGTCCTACTTGCCCTTGAGGCGAGGAAGGTGATGGACTAAGAGAGAGGTCACCAGAAACTAGAATAGGCACCAAGGACTAGAAGGTGAATGGGGTGTGAAGGTCTCCCCAGACCAGATTAACGGTAAGGCTGCAATGCAGGGCAGGTATATAGGACTCAGGTCACCCAGGCAAGGGGCTTGACACTCAGGGTGGGGGGTTGGGGCTCCCATGTACAACCCAGCGTGGCTCCCAGGAGTTCAGGGCCTGGTGGGGCTGGGGCTTTGTGGTTAGGTGTCATCACTGGGATCTAGATAGTCATGAACAGGCATAGATTGTAAATTGGTGACCCATGTGTCCGCAGATGTGTTTTATCTAGCTCATAGAGTGTCTTTATTTTTCTTTTATTTTTCTACACACCCTTGTGTCGAGGGCTGGCTTCCAATAGATCGCAGAGAGGGAGCTGCTCTGCTGGGTACAAAGCTCACAGAGTGCTTTTAAAAATTATTATTAATACATTTCATCAATTCTACAACTCACACTTTTTCACATTTGGACATATCTGAAATCAGAGTGCATCATTAAATTACTGGTAACTTATAATGATAGTTGGCAATGGTTTTCCTTACATAGTAACATATAAAAAAATGTCATGTCTCACAAACTCTCTGATTTGCTAAAATACAGGAGTTGACAACCTTTTTTATAATCAAGAAGTTTGTGTAAAAACCTGGATTTCTGGCTTCTCCTGGGAAATTGCAAGACCTGTAACACTGGGCAGGCATTCCCACAGCAGTTTTAGTGGCCTGTGGGTGGTAACTGCTCCTTTAGATGGAATAGGAGCCCTCCAGCTTGTTCCAGTCCCCACTTGACCCACTCAGATCAAATGGAAAGTCTCTGAGTGAGGGAATTATCCCAGAGGGTAATGGATCTGTGATCACTGATTTTCCTTCTGCTCAGGTGTCCCTGGGGAGGTGGTGCCTTCTGGAGAATCAGGTGAGTACCCAGTTTGGAGAGAGAGTTTGTCAGTGCTGATGTTGAATGAGGTCTGGGCATCACCAGCTGTTATCAGGGTTCATGCCTGTGAGATGGGGACTCCACGTCCAGTTGAGAGCCTGGGGCTCTGACCTGGGCTCAGCAAGCAGGCAGGGCTGGCTGTGGCATGAGGCAGGGAGTCGGTGGAGATTAGAAAGGGGATCCGGGAAAGAGGCAGAGATTATAACCTGCTATGGAGAGACAGAAAGAGCTCCTGGGGACTGGGCAATTTGACAGGGGATTTTTCATAGGTCACCTATGGCCTCCCCCAGTGTGCAAACAGCTGTTAAGGACCCAGGCTGATCTGGGGACTAATGCTGAGTTTCTAATTTCCAGGAATCCGAAGGAGAGGCTCAGACCCAGCAAGTGGTAAATACTGAAGCTGCAAGAGGAGAGCTGAAGGCGGCCTGAATTCCAGGGGGGTGGGATAGGATCATAGCCATCCTGGGAGGGTGGGTCAGTCCCAGCAAGGATGCTATCACCAGACAGAGTGTCACTGTGATTCAGGAAGGGGACTTCCAACCTCAGGGGAAATGGAACAGAGCACAGACTCAGGCCTGTAGAGGGAGGAGGGGGCCAGTGGGGGTCCCAAAGACAGCCATCCCCACCTTCACAGCTTGGCCCTGATGGGTCTTGCAGGAGATGTCCTCTCACTCAGGAAAAAGAACCCAGGACAGCTATTCTCAATGAGACAGGGAAGAGAAAATCCCACCTGCCATCCTGTGTCAAAGTTAAACACTAATTTCTTGTCCCTAAGGAGAAATGGAGGCCTCTCAGTTAAGAAGACTGAATATAAAGAAAGATGGTAAGGAAATTAATGTTCCAAAGCCGCTTCTACTTCTCTTGTCCAGATTTCTATGGGTAGAAAGTTAGCTGGTGGCCTAGAACAATAGTAATCATAACCCATCCCTGTCGTATGCCCTGAAGTTTGCAAAGTACCCAGCTTAAAATCACCTCCAGAAGGTGATACAATGATTTCCATTTTGCAGATATGGAAACTGAGGCTCAAGAATAAGGAGTGGTCTCATAATTAGTGAGTGGAATGACTTGAGCTTGCACCCTGGTCTTAAGCTCTTTCTTCTGTACGTGGAGTTACTAGGATGATAAATGCCCTCCAGGCCTTGTGGGCAGGATAGGGAGCTAGACATGGCTGGGCTGAGGAAGCTGTGAGTTCGGGTTAGTCTAGACTAGAGAATGGGCGATGAAACCAGAGGGACCTCCTCCACTCCGGGCCTGGAATTTGTGGGAGCTTCATGGAGGAGAAGGGTGGAAGGGGAAACCATGATTTTTGATTAAATAAATAGCAGTTGTTCTAGAAACATTTTAATTATTGTAAAAGCCTACCTCCAGGGGGTGGACACCTGGTCCTTGCCCCCTACTCTGCCTCTGTCCAGAGAGATGGCCAGTGCATGCTGTTTAATTTTCCTGGGCTAGAAAACAAGCCTTGTTAGACTAAAACTGGGATTCTCAAAGTGCAGACCATGTCTGAGTTGCTTCAGGACAGGCACTATACCCCAAAGTGAAAAGGTGAGTCCCCTCTCCACTCTCTCTTTTAGAGCATGGTCACAGTTTGGGGACCCCATGCCTCTAACGCTGCTGTGACCTTGCTCATGGCCCTTCAGACACAGAGAGCAGTCTCTCCCTGTGTGCAGAGCCTTCCACAGGCAACTGGCCAGCTAGAACTTCATCACCTTGCTTTGTATGCCGGGAGTGTGTGTGTGTGCGCGTGTGTGTGTGTGTCCCACACTCAGCAAAATCTGGCAACTGGGGCATTTTGAACTGTCTGTTCAAAGAACTGTTCTACAAAACGAAGTATTACCATTGGCCTTATGCGTATTCCAACATTATTTATGAAACAATAGCTGTAGTTCTTATAAATGAAAACTACTGCTGTTTTGCTATTTAGAGCAGCAAAGCTTTTAAGTATATTTGGTAACACTTATGTTTAAGTTTAAGATGCCCCTGACTTTCTGAATGAAATTTAGTTTATTTTTTAAGTTGAGATATGATTGACATACAACATTATATTAGTTTCAAATGTACAACATAATGATTCAATCTTTGTATACATTGTGATGTGGTCACCACAATAAGTCTAGTTGACATCTGTCGCCATACATAGTTACAAATTCGCGTGTGTGTGATGGGAGAAGTTTTCATTAAGACAGGGGGATCCTCGCTTTCCATTTACTGCCAGAACATAAGTTTTTCTTTTAATGTAAATCTATTTAGCTGAAAAAGGAATCTGTTTAAAGAGAAATCTTAAGTAAATATTAGAGTACAGATGGTCCTTGGATTAGCATGAAATTGTGAAGATGGGAAGCAGTGGTACATAGAAAGAGCAAAAACCACAAAGGTGATGTGTGAATGGCTGAAATTTGAGAAAAACCAGACAAGAATGATCCTCCAGGTCCCTCCAGGCTCAAACAAAACCCTGGAGTCCTTCTCCTGTCCTATCTCTTCAGCCTCCAAAACTTCTAGTTCCTAACAGCCCCTCCACTCACCTGGTTGAGCCAACCTGTCACTATTCTGGGCCCGGGCCTTGGTCTTACCTCCTTCCCCTGTGTCATGCTGTCCCTCCCAAGTAGCATGTGCATGTACACACACGTCCTTCCCGCTCATTCAAGTCCCACTGCCTTGGCAATCTTTAAGGTTCAGCTCAAACTCTCTTTCGCCCACGAAGCCCTCCTGGACAGCCCCAGCCCCAGCCATGGTGACCCCTGAATTTTTATGACATCTTAACAACTGCATAATATTTCACAGTGTGGTTACATTATTATGTACTTATTCCCCACTGGATAGACATTTTTCTGATTTTTTAAGCCATCCTACCCATCCAGTCCTCTATTTCATCTTGCATTTTGTTGATCTCTCTCTCTCAAACACTTATATTTTTTAAATATTCTTAAGAAAACGGAAAATAAGAAAGAATTTCTCTGTTAAGAACTCATTTTTTGTTTCTGAAAGAAAAGAGTCCACTTCACCCCAGGTTTTCACACCTCTGAAGAGAGCTAAGCCTCATGCTTTCTTAAACCTTAAGTCCATTTCTGCGTAATGTACTTTTTTTTCCCTAAAGGGTAAACTGATTTCAGAGCCAAGAAAGTCCTAGAAATGCTCGTTTTAATTTCTACCCAGGAAAACAAAACCAGAAATACCCTTTTCCTCTTCCATTCATTTGCCTTCAAAATGCCCCTTGCCAGCTGTGGTATGAAGTATCACAATGCCTTTTACCATTTACAAAGCACTTTCCCACACAAGATCCCCATCCATCCTCTCAGTGGCATTGAGATTGCTCTCTTCAATGTATCAGTGAGAACACTGAGGTTCAGAAGGGTCAGGACACTTGTCCAAAACTTCACAGCACATCGGTGGCTAAACTGGACTAAACTAAGACACATTCCTGGCAGCTTCAACACCCACTCAGGAAGCCTGCCTCATTCCCGGGAACAGTCTCTAAATTGTCCTTTTTTTCCTTTTTCTTTCTTTCTTCTTGGAAATCTTTATTTACATCTCTTCTAATCACAGCCCCTTGAGTGGGTCAAAGCCCCTGTGTCCTCCCCCTTGATGACTCACACAGTGCCTGGCAAAGTGCAGGGGGCCCTCTTTCACAGACTGCCCCTGAATTCCTGCCCCAGGCACAGGCCCAGCCTCTCCACTCCTGTCTCTATCTCTGTTTAACTACATTCTGTTAAGAACATTCCACACTTGCAGTTCCACTTCTGGGCACCGGGCCCACAGAATGCACCGAGGTTCATGTACAGTGATGTTTGGTACAACATCAGTAATAACAACAAACATCTGATGTCAATAAATTCATCCGTGAGGGACTAGTTAAAAAAACTAGGATAACTTTCTACCATGGAACACTATACAGCCATCAAAAAGTGCAGGGCAGATCTATATATGCTCTGAAATGGAAAGATGGCCCTGATCTAGCAACAAGAGGGACAAAGCAAATTATAGAGTAGCAAGTGTACAAATTGGTCCTGCTTTTGTTTTTGAAAATATGCATGTGCCTATATGTACCTGGAAAAGTTTTGCCAATCACCACTCAATTTTAAGGAGTGGGATTAGGGAGGGAGAACGGGGCAATGTGAAGCTTTTAAACTTGATGCATTTGCATTTTTTTACAATTACCTTTAACATTCATTCCACAAATAAAGTATCGGCGGCAGCTCTGCATGCCCGATGATGCTTCAGTCCACGGGCAAAATCTCCACCCACCGCCCTACTGAGGGAGACAGAGAATAAACACAGAGATGGAAATATAACCAGTTGAGTGGTGATCAGTGTTAGAAAAATAATAAAGTGAGATAAAGGCTGGAAAGGGTGGGGTTTGGCGCGCTGTTTTAGTTGGGCTGGTCAGGAGAAGCATCTCTGAATAAAAGCTCCGTTTCAGCAGAACAGGAATACTTTTAGTAATTAGACAAGGAGGGAGAAAGAAGTAAAAAGTGAATTCCCCACCTCCTCTGCCTTCACAGACGAGTTTTTCCACTTTGTCATCCTCTGCTTTGCAATCGGGGCCTTGCTGGTGTGTTATCACTATTACGCAGGTGAGTGGGGGCTGGGGAGCAGGGGCTGGGCGCGGGGCTTCAGGCCCACAGCCTAACCACTCGCTCCCTGGCTGTCCTTGCAGACTGGTTCATGTCCCTTGGGGTTGGCCTGCTCACCTTCGCCTCCCTGGAGACTGTTGGCATCTACTTCGGTCTGGGTAAGCACCCCCCACACACACACCCCACCCACGCTCAGAGGTTGGTGGCTGGACCAGCCACAGATGCTTGCCAAGGGCCAGAAAGCCATGACCTAAACACTTTTTAAAGATTTCCTTATGCTCCTGTTTTCTTCCTGACCACGTTCAAGGTCAACGGGAGGTCTTTGGCAAAACTCTGTGGAAAAAATGGGCAGCTCTGTAAAAATGCAACAAAAACAGCTGAAAGTGGCAAACAAACAGAATTAGGCAGATACTGAAAACAAGTTAGTTCATGGGGTTGGGTGCTGCATTCTCCGTTTCCTGGCGCTGTTTTGCTGTTCGTGGCTGTTGTTTAAAATAACAGCTCCAGTACTATTATCTAAGCTTAACCTGCTGCCTGAAATTCCACCATTAGAGCCTTGTTTGTGTGGGTTAAGCTGTGGTCCAAGTGTGGGCGGGAGGAGGTCTGACCCTGGATCCCTTGAGGAGGCACAAAGCTCAGTCACCTTTCTCTTTTTGCCTGGGCAGTGTACCGGATCCACAGCGTCCTGCAAGGCTTCATCCCCCTCTTTCAGAAGCTCAGGCTGATAGGTAACTTTTACATTCTTCCTAAATTCACTTTCTCTCGCGATCAGGATCTTCTCTTGCCAGTGAGGCTTAGCATATAGAAAAGAGCACAGGACCTGGAGTTGGGGCCTGGGTTCAATTCCTGACTCTTCCAATTTACCAGTTCTGGGGCCCTCGAGCATCTTTTAGCCTCAGTTTCCTCAACTGAAAAATGGGTGTAATAACACCTACTGCACCAAGGATGTTGTGAAAATCATGTGAGGAATGGGTGCAGAAGTCCCTAAGTGTGACACACAGTAGAAAAGAGAAGGGAATCTGGGTGTTCTGTCATAGAACTTTACATTTCCCTAAACTCTATCTTCTCCATGATTTTATTTGCCTGATAGAACTGGGGGTGGAGGTGGGCTTTACTTATTTTGCACTTGTCTGATGAAACTGAGGCTCAGAGAGGTAAAGTGACTTGCCCAGGGTCACACAGCTAGAGTGGTTGGACTGAGCTGAAGGAGATCCTCTTTTATGACCAGCAGCTCTGTACCTACCACTAAGTCTCAAAACTCAGAGACCAGGGGGCTGTGTGTCTCTGGGCTGGGGATTTCCATTTCCTTTAAGACATTTAATTCATAACGGGGAAATTGGTTGCAATGGCTGTGGATCATTGAGACCCGTGGCTTCTGGGGTAAGTAGATTATTCCAGCTGTGAGGGGTTTTTAAGCATCTGGGGTGATGGTGGGAATGAGGCCTGGCTGCCTTCAGAATCTCATGCCATCCTTTGGGCTTTTCCTCCCAGGGTTCAGGAAGACTGACTGAGGCCAGTGCCAGGCGGGCAACCAGGCCAAGCAAGCCCCAGTGTGACCACCATGGCATCCCCTGAGCACAGAGCGACGTTCTGGGAGACACGCAGGCAGGCCAGGCTAAAGCAATAAATAGAGCCCTTTTCCTTCCATGTGGTCCGAACGTTGGCACTAGACCTGGCAGTGGTACCATTTGGGCAGCGCTGGCATGCAATCCAGCTGCCAGGATGGAAGGCAGAGGGAGGGTGCGGGAACTGAGCACTTCGTGGTTCCTGGATCAGCAGGAAGATTCTGAGACATCACTGCTGTCAGGAGGCAGTAGGACTGGGCCCTGCAAGCTGTAATCCGTCTGGACTCCTGGTTTCTCTCAAATCCCCAGGCTATTCTGGAGTGCCCTCAGTTCCTACACAGCCATCCCAGGACAGACATATAGTCCACCGTCCTGAGACAGGGAACCACCGTGTCAGGTCCACTGGGTGAACCTGATGTGGGTGAGACATGGGAGACTAAACCACAGCATCTGGGCTCCATCACCCGATGCCAGCCTTGCGGCCCCGGACTCCATCAAGCTTCAAATAAAGGTTTTCTTCCTTGTACTAAAAAGGTCCATGAATATTCCTTTAGGTTTCCTGAGTGCAAGAATACATATGGGGACTTCTTCGGCCCCATCTATCAGGATAAAGGATAAAAGGGAATAAATATAAAGTAAAGCCTCTCATTTTAGGTCCAAGACTTCAACTGCATGGGTTTGGAATGGGAGACAGGGTTTTGCAAACATTTTTATGAAAAAGATCTGGGGACTGTTAGGTACTCTCAGCTCAACAAATATTATGAAAGTGAGATAAGAGCACAAGACAAAGTCCATTGTAAACTTTGGTTGAATTAATGGAGGTACAGAGTCTGGATTGAAGGCAGTGATAGTAGGTCCTCCTTTACACAGCCAGGCCACACCAAAATCATATGTTCAGTTCTAGACTCATAGATGAAGAACAACAGTGACAAACTGAGAACACACAGAAGAGACCAGAGTGGGAATATAAAGAATGATCAGAGAAACAAGAACTCTTCAGCTTGCATAAGAGAAAAGCGGGAGCCGTCATGGAGCTCACAGACTCTGCAGGACACTTTCCCAGGTGGTTATGATGTTCTCGGTACACTCACACACATTATCTGGTTTAGTTCTCACAGCGGCCTTGAGATGTGTGAATCATCCCCATTTTGCAGCTGGAAAAACAGAGGCTCCAAGAGGTTTCAAAACTTGCTCAAGTTCCCACAGGAAATAAGTTGTCAGAGCTGCCAGTTTTTCCCAGTCATTCCCAGACTTTGGGACTCTCAGTTATAGAATATTCTTTAAAAGTGAGAGAAAGAGGGCTGTCTGCTCTTTACTGTGCCAATTGAGAACAATAAAAACAACACAAAACATCAACTCTCAGCACCATTTTATTAAAGAAAGGACGCTTTTACATCAGAAGCAGGGAAATGATCATCAGAAACAAAATGGGATTTAAAGTGAATAAACTAAGCTTTATGAAAATCTAACCGTGAGTCCTCTTTCCTCAAATCACTGTGGTCTGGTTAAAAATGTGTCTTTTGGAAACCACGAGACTAGAAAATTTACATTCTCTTGTTTCTGGGATTTTCCAGCTCAGCTCGCACCCCTCAAGTGATGAAAGCCTCACTACCTCCCAAAGCAACTCCTAGTACAAGAATTTTCTACCCTTGTTCCAAGATACCTCCGTCAATGAAGCTTAGGGCATTCTTTCAGAAAAACAGTGACCTAAGAGTAGGGAACATTCTTGATAGTCACAGCTGTATTGTCTCAAACTCAGCTCTCAGCTTGGCCTTGACATCCATGCCTGTGACACAGTCCTCCAACCGTGTTCCTCTTCTTCAAGATTGTTTTGGTTGTCCTGGGTCCCTGCATTTTCATACAAGCTTTAGGATCCGCTTATCAACTTCTGCGAAGAAGCTAATGGGAATGTTGATGGGATTGCATCTTTTACAGTTTCATTAGGAAAAAAATTGTCCCAAATCTCAGCACCCCAAATCAATCACAGTTAATATGTTGGTTGTTTTCTCTGAGTCTTTTTAGTGCGTGAGTCCATTTATTTTTATTTTGGGCCCTTTTTTCTTCCACCTAGAATAAGTATCCTTCCACTACTACATACTCTCCATAAGCATCATTCCCAGCCGCTCTGTATTTCATGCTTTACATAATAATCCTTCTATATTTAAGAAGTAATATAAGTCACTAACGTTGTTCAGTACTTCTCACATGCTGGGTGTGGAGCTAAGCACTTTGCACACATCATGTCATTTAATTCTCGTTGAAACCCTGTGAAGTAGTATCTGTCATGATCCCCATGTTACAGAGGAGAAAACTAAGACAAGAATTGTTAGTTTCTGAGGTTTTGCTTTCAAGCAATTGTGTGTCACTTACTTTCATCTAAAGGGAGCCTGGAGTGCACAGATCAGATATTTATCAAATGCCTTCTATAAATAGAAGGCAAAGGGTCATTATAGAAATATGAACTTGCTGACTTAAGGACAGTGTGGTTAGCCCTCCCTGTCCCAGCCTCAGTTCCCCATCTGTACAGTGGAGAGTCACAATAGTGCCTACCTCACAGTGCTGTAGAGAGGATTAATGAGATAATCCTCTAATACAGTCTCTGGCACATAGTAGATGCTACGTAAGCAGGAGTTACTAGATTAGAGCAGAGGCACACATCAGGTGCCTTACTGTCGAGGAGGGAAAGTCAACCAGATGTAGAATAATGGGGAGTGGGGGTCAGGGGACCAGGAGAACTGAAGTCTGACCAAAGAGGGCTGCTGCTATCCAGTGTTGCCAGGCAGGAGCACCAGCCAGAGTTAGCCAGGAAAACAGAGCCACACTAGGTATTTTAACAGAAAGATCTAATATAGGGGATGCATTCAATAGGTACAGGAGGACTGAAAAGGCAAAAGGGGCCTACTGAGGTATCATAGAGCCTCACAGAGGAGAGCAGTTACCACTTAGGGCTGGGGGAACAAAAGAAAGAGGTTAGAACCAAGAACAGGGCCCTGCAGAACTGGGATCCAGACCTCTGAGGAGGGGGAACTGCCTGTGGGTGCTGGTGTCCCTGAGAGGGGGCCTGATGAGGCTGGTGCTAGGAGTGTAGGACCGGTTGTGTCAGACCTTCAATTTCTCAAAAGAAGTATTAAACCCAGATACTTTTATGTTGGCAACTAATTTTTTAAAATTTCAAATTATACTATAGAGAACAGTGTAGTGGTTCTTCAAAAAATTAAAAATAGAATTACATATGATCCAGTAAGTCTACCTTTGGATATAGACCTTGAAGAACTGAAAGCAGGAATTCAAAGAAATGTTTGCACACCTGTGTTCATAACAGCGTGATTCACAAAGGCCAAAACATGAAAGCAACCCAAGTGTCCACTGATGAATGAATAGATAAACGATATGTGGTCTATATACACAATGGAATATTATTCCACCTTAAAAAGAGAGAAAACTCTGACACATGCTACCACATGGATGAACCTGGAGGACATTATGCTAAATAAAATAAGCCAATCATAAAAGGATAAATACTGTATGATTCCACTTATATGAGGTCCCTAGAGCAGATTCCTAGAAAACAAAGTAGAATGGTGGTTGCTAGGGGCTGGGGGGAGAAGGGAATGGAGAGTTCATGTTTAATGGGTACAAAATTTTAGTTGGGATGAAAAAGTTCTGGAGATGGATGGTGGTGATGTTTGTACAACAATGTGAAAGTGCTTAATACCATTGAACTGGAGACTTAAGAACAGTTAAGATGGTATATTTTACTTTATGTGTATTTTATCACAATTAAAAATATATTTCAGCTTACATGTGGAATCTAAAGAACTTAATAAACTGATGAACAGAATAGATTCAATGACATGGAAGCATAGATCAGACTGATGAATGTCAGAGGGATGGAGGAGGGTGGGTGGGTGGAGGGAGAGAGAGTAACCAAAGAATTTATATGCATATATGCACAACCCAAGGAGACAGACAATGGTGGGGAGAGGAACAGGAGGGGGATGGGACGGGGTGGAACAAGTCATTGGGGAGAAAAAGGGACATCTGTAATATTTTAAACAACAATAAAATTAAATATATATATATATATTTCAGCCCTGGCCGGTGTGGCTCAGTGGATAGAGCATCTGCCCAAGCACCAAAGTGTCAAAAGTTCGAGTCCTGGTCAAGGGCATGTACCTGGGTTGCAGGGTTGATCCCCAGCCCTGGTCTGGAAGCATTTGGGAGGCAACCAACTCCCAA